TGTTCTCTCTAGTGCCCGTGTTGTCTAACAGGTTGTTGTTTGTGAAGAATCTATAATCCCAGTCTATGTTCATCGCCTCAATTTTGAAAAGGCTTACACAGATAAACTCACGTTTTAGTCTATTATATCCATGAGATGCAAATAAATGCCAAATGTTGTAATCACATGATTGTACGATAGGATAAGGTATGACATCATTCATGCTAACCTGAAGACATGAATAACAATCTATATCTGTCAAACTCCACTTTGTTGATAGAGGACAGAAGGTGTAGCTAACCTGTAAAAGTATGCATAGTGACTACTCTCTTGAAATCACTTGGAATGACTCAATACAAAAAAGCCTGTTGAGGCACTTCAGCATTTCTAATCCATTTCTGTGACATAGAATACTGTGAGGTAGCACGATCCATGCTGTAAAGAAGAGCCCCTCTGTTTGTTGTAAGGGAGTCTTGGTTTATGCCAAATACATTGGTAATAAATAAAAGATACTTTACAGACTATAGTGATATATATTGTCGCTAGTAGGTCATTGTGGTCAATGTTGAAAATCTTCCTTCTTTATCAGAATATTGTATTTATTTACAAATATTTGCTACAATGTGATATAGTACATTAAAACTATGATTTTGGGTAATCCAGTGAACTAAATACTAAAAAGTTAGACATTTCTATCCGATTATTTAAGTTTTATTTTTCATATGCATATGTAAATATTTCCTGTTCTTTCATGTGCTTGTGTATTTTAAGAGGAAATGGTTTCCAAAAATAAAAGATTTTACAGTATTTCTCACTGTCTTGGAAAAAGACATTGTCATTTAATTTAACGCTTTGGTTGTATAACACATGATTTAACATGGTGATTATTTCCTAAAACAAGCTAAACTGAATCATGAAATGTTGTGTTTTAAAATATTTCTGGAATCAGAAAATGTTGCAATGTCAATGCATTTTATTATGTTGATTTTGTTTTTTTACACTTTAAAATAAATATTTTTTTCTCCAAGTAACAATTCTCAGGCCCTTGTTGTGGAAAGTTGATGTAAAATCTGATTATTAACAAAACATTACCATCTGCTGGTAAAGAAATGAAATGTCAGGATAGAAAGTGAAACTTAAAGCTGGTTTCTACCTTGCTTAATGGAGCTGAGAGACGCCATCACAGGGAGAAGTATCTCTATTAAATCAGGATTGTTATCTGTAATTTAAAGAGACACAGATTTGGTGAGTCTTGCTTAAAGATATTCACATATCAGAGAAAATGGCTGAGAAAATAGTTCTTGTTGAAAGTTACCTGAACTGCCATGTTTGTTCAGAGACGTTCAGAGATCCTGTGTCTCTGAGCTGCAACCATAACTTCTGTTCAAGCTGCCTGCAGCAATTCTGGAAACAAACTAAAACTTAAAACTGTCCCATTTGTAAAAGAAGATCCGCAAAGGGCTTTCCAGGAGTGAACTTTGCACTGAAGGAACTGGCTGACTTGTTTGCTGAGAGACAGAAAACTGGATCATCTGAGACAGAAAAAGGAGAGAAGAAGGTGGAGGTGGTGTGTAGTAAACATGGAGAAGAGACTAAACTGTTCTGTAAGGATGAAGAGAGAGTTGTGTGTCCTGTCTGTGAGCTTTCTCTCCACCAGAGTCACAAGTTGGTTCCTATAGAACAAGCAGTCAGTGACCTGAAGGACCAGCTGAGATCTGACTTAGAGTCTTTGCAGGACAAGAGGGAAAAATATGAAGAAGTGGAGGAAACATACAATGAAATGATTCAACACTCCAAGAAACAGCTGTTGTCCACAGAGAGGCAGATCAGAGCAGAGTTCAACAAGCTCCACCAGGTCCTGAAAGAGGAAGAGGAGTCCAGACTGGCAGCTCTGAGGGAGGAAGAGGAGCAGAAGGGGAAGACTATCAGCAGAGAGATGAAGATGATTCAGGAGCAGATCTCCTCTCTGTCAGACAGCATCTCTGCTGTTGAAGAAGACCTGCAGAAACACAACGTGTCATTCCTCAGCAGTTATAAAGCCACTCAGACCAGAGCCAGAGTCCAGAGCTCACTGTCAGATCCACAGCTGGTCTCAGGAGCGCTGATAGATGTGGCCAAACACCTGGGCAACCTGTCCTTCAGAGTCTGGGAGAAGATGAAGGACAAGGTCCACTTCAGTCCTGTCATTCTGGACCCAAACACTGCACACCCCATTCTCTATCTGTCTGATGATCTGACCAGTGTGAGAAATGGAGACACAAACCAGGAGCTTCCTGACAATCCAGAGAGATTCACTGAGTATGTCAATGTTCTGGGCTTTGAGGGCTTCAGCTCAGGGAAACACAGCTGGGAGGTGGAGGTGGGAGACCATCCTTTCTGGAATGCAGGTTTGGCTAAAGAGTCAGTTGACAGGAAGGGAGAGTTACTCGCTTCCCCGAAATATGGAATCTGGTGTTTACTTCATCACAGTGGAAAATACACTAATGGATCTGGTCAGACTGTCATAGTGAAGAAGAGTCTCCAGAGGATCAGAGTCCAGCTGGACTATGACAGGGGGGACGTGTCCTTCTACGACCCTGAAGACATGACTCACATCTACACTCACAGAGACACTTTCACTGAGAAACTCTTCCCATGGTTCAGTATTGGAAAGTCTGGTGATGCTAAAACTGCTGATGTCAAAATCTGTTAAACTGATATTTCTCTGTGATTCAGGGAGGGTGGTGAGGTCTCAGTGATTTATCAGGATTTTTATAATGGTGGTATTTCTTTGTTAATAACAGACAATTCCAGTTAGTTCTTTAATTTGATAGTACATGAACAAAATGTAGAGTTAAAGAAACATAAGATTTGAGTAAATAACGTGATTTGTTTGTGATGTAAATATGCTGAAAGAACTGGGACCAGTAGATTTCATGGGATCATTTAATTTACACGTTTATACAGATTTATTTTTATTTCTAAGAATGAGCAAGAAGTTTGTTTCCTTTTTTAAATTTAATTTCAAATAGTCTTTAATTTTATCATATTACCTTGTTTATTTTTTTTACATTTTAGAATAATTTATCTTTCAATGATCAAATCCTTGTTTCAGTAAATAACTTTCTTTCTATATGAAATCCTTCAGGTTTGTAACTAATTCCTTTAAATAAAATATCAAAGAAATATCAAAATATCTATTTCAATGATCATTTTATTGATAACACCGTAACACATTTTCTTGAAGTCATAGAAACACGTGTAGCACGTAGGAGAACAGAGCAATAATCTGAAGAATCAGAGAACTAGAGGATTCATATTATTATACAGAAGAAACCCAAAGAGACAAAAAGAGACAAAGGGAAACTAGAAAGAGCCAACTGCAGAGAAATGATTGAATAAGGTCGGAAACAGGGGGAACGGGAGAAAGAGAGAAGACAACTCAGTGTTGTCAGTGCAACTCAGTCACTGTCTGGAGAAAGAAGATGGCGGAGGTTCAGAGTGAACACGGTGGCTCCAGTTTATCTCAGTAATGCTTCATCTGACTAAACAGCTGAGGGGAAGGCAGCAGAGCTCTCAGTGACCTCTAGACACCAGAGAAGGACTGTTATTGTAGTTTATATGTAGGGCTGCACAATGAATCATCTTCTATCGTCATGTCAGCTTTGATCATTCATACACAATCAGGATTTATCAGAGGTGTTGGCACAGTTTGTTTAGTGAAGAATGTAAAACGTGTCTGGAAACAGTTTGTGATATAAGATGAATGAAGGAGAATGATTTTGTTCACCAAAAATTGTTCCTGATATGTCTGAAGTTTCTGATCACAACCTTTAAAGCTTGTGTTTTAAATGTCAGCTGTGAATCTATGTATCATGTACAGCAACCCTGAAGGTCACAACACAGCAACGTTTCACAAAACACAAAAGCATTTCACAAAGCACAACATCTATTTGGTATTACAGGTATGTAATTGAAATGATCATTTAATATGCTCAGTTGACTGCCTTCTATTCCAGCTCTGGTTTGACATGTTGGCTGGAGATGTTGTTTTGGAACCCCTTTGTTGTGCTGGAGCGATTCCATGTGTTAACATCCCATATCAGAGGTGGTGAGCAGAGCCACAACATCAAATTCAATTATTTTGCAGAATGTTGAGCCCTGTCTTCCCTCTGTGGGGTCACCTGCTCATTGTTTTGTTTGAGTTACCAACTAGTCTTATTCTTTTTTTTGTACTAGTTCCCTTTTCTTCCAGAGTAGAGGGCCATTGTTGGAAGGCACCGTGGTGAGGTTCCGACACCTTATGCATGCACGTACAAGTACTGGGATACCCCCTGAAAGAGGAGACTGATACAAGGCTGAATTTGCCTGCCTTGGCTCAGCAAGCAGGGAGTTCCACAGCTGAGGAGCCTGGACAGCAAAGGCCCGGTCACTAGGTCACCTTCAGTGACGGAGGAAAAGAATTACATGATTGCAAACCGGGACTGCCCAACTTTGGTCAACTGAGTGACAAAAGTCAGTTTGGAATGAAATCAAATATTTTTTCAACATGAAAATTGAAATTGTGACATTGAATTCCCACCTTAATGTTGCTGCTGCTCACAGTGGATCAGTCATCAATGCACCAGAGCAAGAAGATGAGGGAGATGAACACATTCCTCCTGGTAACCATCAGTTTGTCACTTCAACCAGATAGTTGACCTCTTCTCAGCTGAACTAAGCAGGGATCAGAAACCTGCAGCAAGTGTTTGCACCAGCAACAGTAGAGCACTTGAAGGACAATGCTGCCATTATTCTTGATTTTGCATTACTATCAACAAGCGCCATAAGAAGACCAAAAACCAATGTGTTTATCTCTCAATATTCTGACTTCCATCTCCGGTCAATGCTTCTCAGCAGCAAGCACAACGGTTCCTGATGGAGACACAAATCCTTAAAATGTCTCTGTTTGGCGAGGCGCTTGTTAAACCATTTGGGAGTTGGGGTTCAGTGTCTCGCTTCAGACTCCTGAGCCACAGCCACTCCCAGCATCAAACACGTATACACACAATACACAACACCTGTTTGTAGTACATCCATTGGTGGTTTTGGTCTTTTCATGGGATTTGTTGAGAGTAAAAAACATCATCAAACCTGCCTCTTAAACTAACTTGTGAACACATGAATGCTAGAACCGGATCATAACTGGGACTGAAACAGACTGAAAACATGCGGTTGTGTTTGGAGAGTTTTAATAAACAATTTCAACATCCGATGGTAAATTGTTTACACAATCAGACAACAATCTCTACGTCTCACATAATGTCCATCTTTATTTGAAGAGCCAGCAGCATTCAATACACGGAGCTGGGCCGGTCTACTTTGCAGGTCCTCCGACTCCTCTTGCAATATTGTCGTTGGTTTCAGCAGCGTCCTTCAGCGCCTGCATCACCAGAACGTTCCTCTTCCTCGTCTCTTCCATTCTCATTGGATTCGATTCAGGCAGATTCTGATGGGCGGTAAGCAAGAGGCAGATAAATGTCCCAATCAATCAATTACTATATTTGAACACATGGAATAAAATGTTGACCTCATTTCTTTGCATGTGTTCGTATTGAACACATGCAAAGAAATGAGGTCAACATTTTGTGAGACAAATTATAGAACTTAGCAAACATATTCACTTGTCCATTTCAGATGCAAAAACAGCCTTTATACAAAGCTGCCACATGTCTTATATTCAGTCCGTAATATCTGCAACCAATCTAGCAAAGACAAGTTACTAAAGCTTTTGCAGGGCTTAACATTAAACAAGCAGCTTAAAGCTGCTTTTATGTAATTTAAACTTCTGTCCATCTTTTTGATTTATTGTGAAAAATGAAACAAGTCAACATGAGAGTAACTGAAAACTGGAGCAGACTGTCAGCTCATCATTTAGACTCAGGTTAACTGCAAAGTAGGATTTTACATACAAGCAATTTGCCTTGGCATTTTTGTGAATAACATGAACATAGTAAGAGAAAGTAAAACTAGAAATGACTGCAATCATCAAGAATTAGATATTATATCATTATTTATAAATACAAAACGAATGGCTTTTATGTAAATACTAGTGCTGGGCAACGATTAAAATATTTAATCGCGATTAATCGCATGGATTTTTTGCGATTAATCGCATTGTTATGGCAAAGTTCAATAATGAATTCAAAAGTAGTGTATTGCGCACTTTTATTTTAAAAGTACTGCTATATGAACAAAAGGGCAATAACATTTGGTTCACGAGATGCAGGTAGCATGTTTCATACTTAATGTGAATATAATTCATACTTTGTTGGCATCTTATTCTGAAAACCGGACGTCCGTCTGAAGAAACCGGATGTTGTCTCACGTTAATGTTTCAGCTAACTTTCAAAGTCCTTCGCTCGCTCCCGATCTGTGCCGTTTAAATGCGTTTACCGTGAATTTCAGCATATAGGTGCACTAACATGTAAGTGTCTGCTGAGTTGACCACGGAGATCTGAGTGTCTGCTGACTTTACCGCAGCGATGTCCAGTAGTCTCCAGGGAGAGCAACAGCTGGTGCAGCTTCTCTCTTTATTTCTGCCCCCCCCCCCCCTCGACCAGAAGCGGAAGTCGCCTTTTCTCTACGGCAACGCTGAAGGGACATCATATCTCCAATACAAAACGATAAACATGAGACAGTCTGTTACAATAATAATAAATTAAAAATACTTACCTGTTTTTTTGTTGTTGTTGCTTTTTAATTATTATTATTATTTTTCCCATCTCAAAAGGCTCAAGGACACACACACACATTCATACACACACGTTCACACACACCTGACTATAGGATGTTTTCTGGCTTTTATCCCACTGTTCTTGTCATCCTCTTGTTGTTATTTATATGTATTGTCTCTTGTCTTTCAATAAAAAAATTAAAAAAATAAAAAATAATAATAATAATAATAATAAATATATATATATATATATATATATATTATAGTAAATTTTAAAAAATGCGTTAACGCACGATAAAATAATTGTCGGCGTTAATTAATGAATGCGTTAACGTGAATTTAACGCGTTAACTTGCCCAGCACTAGTAAATACATAGAATATCTTGGCCATTTTCTCACTGATGATTTGAACGATGACAGAGATATAAATAGAAAAAGGAGAACACTGCCCACTGTCAGTGTCCCCAGAGGACCGCCCACTGTCAGTGTCCCCAGAGGACCGCCCACTGTCAGTGTCCCCAGAGGATGTGAGGAAAACCCTGATGAGAGTGAATATGGGTAAAGCTGCTGGGCCTGATAACATCCCTGGTCCTGTACTAAGAACATGTGCCAACCAGCTAACTGATGTCATCACTGATATTTTCATCATATCACTGTCACAGGAGAGTGTTCCCATCTGCTTCATCGTTCCCGTACCTAAGAAGTCTGCAGTCTAAAGGACTACCGCCCTGTATCACTCATCCCCATTCTGATGTAGTGCTTTGAGAAACTGGTTCTTCAGCTCATCAGAAACAACATCCCAGCCAGCCTGGACCCTCATCAGTTTACACACAGAGCCAACAGATCCACAGAGGATGCTGTCTCCACTCAGCCATCACTCATCTTGAAAATAACAACCTACATCAGAACGCATACATGGCCAATAAAGCTGATTCTGAACACCGGAGCCCCCCAGGGCTGTGTGCTTTTATCTTGTAGGTCTTATTTTCTTTCTTTCTTTCTTTCTTTCTTTCTTTTGACATGGAACCTCTTATGAGTTTAAAATAAAATTTAAATTGAATGAATGAATGAATGCAAGCTTTTAACAAATAAAAACGATATCGCTCTTGACTGGGACTACACTAACAGTACAGAGTACACACGCTATTTAAAAGACTTGGTTTGTTTACACACTGAGTGTTATCCCCATGAATCACCTTGAGGAGCTCTCTCCGCCTTTCTTCTCCCGGTGATATGATTGCCCACATCCCGTAGCCAAGCCCCAGCAAAGCCACCAGCGCGCCGGAGCTCAGGATGGTTCGCATGGCGCTCATCCTGGAGCGGGTGATGGAAACACAGTATCTGCCTGATATCTGAGTCTTTATTAGTGGCCACAAACACAAACCACTTGCAGCATCTCGTCTGTTTAGTTTGGTAATATCGGACACGGCAGCAGCAGTGCACCCTGGGATAGCTGTCTTCTTCTTCACTTTTAAACGGAGCCCCGTGTATAGCGCCACCTGTTGGCTGGAGTGTGTGGAGTCACGTGATGCGGACACATTTACAGGGAAAGGAACGAACGAACTAACAATTGTGGGAAAAGTCGCTTGTTTCATTGAGTACAAGTAACAAGACCAATGTCAAATGCTCCACCACACACAAACCATTCAAGTCATGCATTCAAAACCCTACACTAAAAGCATGAGTAAAAGTCCCGAATTCACTGTCTCAGTGGTGTCCAGCTTGCTGCCATGTTGAGTTCTTTAAATCTCTACAGCTCCACTAAAATGATCCATAATCCTTCTGACTGACGTTTTCCTCTGTTTTTTTCTCTCCTTTCCTGAACTATTCTGAAAGATAACTGTGTGCTTTAACTATCTAGCAAACATGTCACGTGTACTTCATCCTGTAGGCCAATAGTCCACATTTAAAACAACCATTACTATTCACCTCACTCACCAGAGTAATCATAATTACAGCACTAGGCAGAAGATACATGACGGTGAACTGCCGCCACCCACTGAGCGTCATGGACGTTACTGTGTGCGTGCTGTTCTTTTCCTCACGCAGCTAAGAATCAACCAATGAAGAAGAAGCATTTCGGAGGTTTTCCGCTTTCCCCGAAGTTCTTGACAGATCCGACTTCAGCTTGAAATAATTCAAGATGGCTGCTACAGGTAAGCGTTTAACTTCTATCCAAACTGCACGGAAGACACTAAGGGAAGAAGGTTTCGCTATTAACCTGACAGATGTAGCTAGCGTTATAGCAACAACTGTTAAGTGCTGTTTTACTCGTGTCAATGAAATAAGTCGCTGCTGTGTATTTTAGGAAGACATCAGAAGTAACCAACAAGCTGACGCGGTGGTAAAACCCCCTACATTGGCTAATGTTAGCTGGCAGGGAGTAGCATAAGAGCCCTACACATTAAAGTAAGATAAATTAGCCTCTGTGTTCACGCGAGCCAGATAATCTCCTCTCCTGCTCCACTCAGCATTTAGCCAGCTAACGTTAGCTCGCGCAGTACAAGTCGTTCTGAAAGGATTTGACAACTTTGGTTAGCGTTAACTTAACGCGATGTTGCTATCATGTAACATTTTACCCACTTCCTACCAGTCTACCTTTAAAAGTTGTTTGTTAGTCTGCTTTAATCGTTTAACTATCGCCCGAGAGAAACATGGCCTTCCAAAACTCGAAATGTCATTTCGCATCGCAGGCAAATCCCACGCTAAGCTAAATGGCTAACGTTAGGTAGGATTAGCATGCGAGTAGTTAGCGTTAGCGGTTCGCTGGTTTACATCTTTGACTTTCAGCGCTGCAATTCAGCATTGCTTTTAAAGATGGGCCTGACACATACGTTGTCACGTTACGTAGGGTAACGTTCATAGTAGTTTTGTTAAATGGGATCATCGGTGTCGTTCGTCTGTGCTGCGGAGTTCCACAGCGACTGCGTTGACGTTGAGACCGGGTGGCGTTCTCTCCTGTATCTTCAGACATCATTCAGAACTTAGGCAATCAGCTGTTGTTATCGACAGGATGATGACTGTGAGCCTCTCACAGCTCGTCAGGATACATTCAGTGTACCTGTCATAACGTGTCCACTCTCCATACAGATAAGGGCATTGTTGAGAGAGCACAGATCCATTCTCATTCAGTGTAACGGGATTCTGCATTATGATTCAAAAGTCTCAAGAAACTAACATCTGCCAGAAATCAGTGTGCTCAACTTTATGTGTATACTGGCATTTGCACATTATGTATAGAATGTACATTTGTATTGTTGACTACAAACTACTGAAACTCTTTGTCCTGATTCATGCCAGTTTCTATACGGATAACTACAGCTTTGCTTGTTTGGATGTGCTTTTTAGCTGCATGTCTTCTGCTTGTTTGTTCAATGTTAAGGGTGTTTGCATTAGACTTTGTGCTTAATGTTGGATTATTATGGTTGATTACTAAGGAGAGGCATCTACATCCTCAATCCACAAAATGCCCTTTTCCCCCCCCAACAATCTGATCCACTTTATTTACTACACAGGAGGTATAGATGTGTGGAGATATTCTGTCCAAACTGAAATATGTCCATGTTGTTGCAGGAAACTAGGAAAGGGCTAACTCTTCTGGATTCCACTGTGCATGAAGCTCTCCTGAGGTTGTGGCGTCTCAGTGCTCCGTGTCCCAGCTCCTCCTGCCTCTCATCATGTCCTCCACCTCCTCCTCCTACTCCTCCTCGGGGGAGACTAGTCCGGAGGATGTACCCCGAGGTGGGGGCACCATCCGAGTCTACCTCCCCAACAAACAGAGGACAGTGGTGAGATGATTGGCTCTATACTGCTCCTAAACAATGAAGCAGCAGAACATTTAAACAACACATTTTGACATACTGAATACATCGATGTGAGTATGCTGTAACAAGATGAATAAGTGATAGCTGACTATTACCACCACTGTGGTAGCACTGTTGGTTGTAAGTGTAAATACTCACACAAAATTCGACATCTTTTCCAGGTTGTTAATGAGTAAGCGAGACACAGATGGGCTCAGATTTCACAGATGGTGCCTGCCACCAACGTTTATCATCCCTATCAGATATCTTGTGTTCATATTCTGACAAATAATTGCTAAATTATCCTGTTATGTGCAAAATATAAATCTTAGTGAAAATGGTTGTGCATTATTATAATAATGGTTGAAACAATAGGCTCCTCGTGCTATCCATATCTCTACTGTAAAATAGCAGGCCATGTGTGGAGCTCAGCTGGGCCTGCCATGTGTGGAGCTCAGCTGGGCCTGCCATGTGTGGAGCTCAGCTGGGCCTGCCATGTGTGGAGCTCAGCTGGGCCTGCCATGTGTGTGAAGTTCTGTCACAACATGAGTAATCTATATGTCAACATGAAGTCAATTTACAGCTGTCATTTCTGCTTCTCAGTACTCCTAATATTCCTCCTTGTTACCTGTGTGTACCTGGCCAATGAAAGTCCCATTTGTTCAACTACTGTATCCTGTTCTCAGGTGAATGTTCGCCAAGGACAGACCGTGTATGAGAGTCTCGATAAAGCGCTCAAAGTGAGAGGCCTGAGCCAAGACTGTTGTGCTGTATTTCGCCTTCTAGAAGGGTAAGATTGCAGTATTGTCCTCTGAATGTCCTCCCACACCATGCAGGGATAACGGGTTGCATTCCTCATCGCCAACATAACGGATCAAGAGGCAACAGCAAACAATTGGCTGAATTCTGAGATCTGTGGGTTGTTCAGTATTGTGTGTGTGTGTGTGTGTGTGTGATTTTAAAGGGAAATTCTTAGATCTACTTTTTTACAGTTTCATCAAAATAGTAACATTGCAGTTACCAAGTTAATTGTGGCCATCTGTATGTATGGTGTAGATAGACGCCTCAGGTTTTGATTGAATTAATTTGAAAGTATTTAAAACTGATGTATACAAATGTATTCTTGCCTCTCCAGTCGTAAGAGGCTGACTGATTGGGACACAGACATCACTCCTCTGGTTGGAGAGGAGCTGTTAGTCGAGGTCCTGGATGATATTCCCCTCACCATGCACAACTTTGTAAGTAGCTGGCAAATACATCTCCATGTTTATGGCTAAATACCTTTTTATTTACATAATGTCAACCTGTCAGGAACTGGCCTGGTTGGCGTTCCACCTGATATTTGGGTTCGTAATTACATTGCTGGTGTAAAAGTGACTTTTGTGGCCTCTTTATCATGCAGGTACGGAAAACCTTCTTCAAACTGGCCTACTGTGATTTTTGCCACAAGTTTCTTTTTAACGGCTTCAGATGTCAGACATGCGGCTACAAATTCCACCAGCACTGCAGTAGCAAGGTCCCTACTGTGTGCGTGGACATGGATACGGTGACCAAACGGTGAGTTGAGGGAGAACTTCAGTATCGAGCAGTGATTCAGTTCATCAGTGGGTGTAAATCTATACGGGCATCAGGTATCTTTATGAAGCCAACGGGGGAATGAGTTATTTCAGAGCTGCCGTCTACAGCACGGGTGGGATGGAAGGGGGAAGCCCAATTATTATTATTATTATTATTTTTTTTTTTTATTTTTTTTTTTTTCCTCTCATAGATTTTTGTATCTTTTTTTTTGGCTGAGATTATGAGATCTGATCAGTGTTTCTGTTTGCCAATGTTGTTGATAAATGTATTTTGTTCTGAAAGACATGAACCCTAACCAACAAATGGCTACGTTGGTGTGCTCATCAGATGATGGTTCCTGTTTTTGTTATCGGCCGAGTGTCGTCTTTGAGTCAGGAGCCCAGTTAGAAAAAGCATAAATTACAGATAAGATAAAACGTTATTCATCTCAAGGGAAGCTGCTGTGCAGCAGTGGTAATACAAAGTGGGTAGAGTGCAAATTGAAAAGTCTAAAATAACAATAACAGTTACGTACAATGCCAAAATCAAGTTAACAGTATGATCATAAAAATCTAAACCGGTTAATGGCAGAGATCAGTCTATGGGGGTTGCATATAGATATGTAATTACAAGAACAACTCTAGGTCCTTAATGTAAATGAGTTTTCCTTTGTCTGACACATTGTTTCATTATGTCTCTTGTGCTATCCCTTCTCTCCTATGTTTTGTCCAGGGTTGATACTCATTCCTGCACAGATGAGTACCCACGGATACTATTGCCAGAAAATTCCCCATCGCAGAGCAACCTAGCCTTAACCCCAGAGCCTGCTGGGTAAGCGCCTATACTAAACAAAGTAGATTTAAGCTTAGTTTATACTCCCGCTTGGCGCCACAGACGGGCGAGTATGTACGGAGGCCTTTATACTCTCTGTGCTGTGTGCTGCATTATTCTCCGAAACACCAGAGAGCGTACAAACAAAATCAAAAAGACAACGAGTGTAACCCATAGACTGTCAAAATGCCATAAACCAGCCTCCACAATGCCGAGGAGGGGTTGTAACTATCTGTAAACTCATATCTCCTCTTCATGGACTACTGTAGAGCGCTGTAAAGAAAGAAGTCAAGTGTTCTAGGAACTTTAAAGAAACAAAGGTTGAATATCTAGTGAACTATTTGATTTGGCTGCAAAATATTTACTCAAATGTAGATTTTTAAGACCTAATTATAAAGCATTTAAAAGCGAATCGGCCTTCTTTGTATAAACCCTAGACATGTAGACAGTGCTTTTATCAGGGAACTATTTGTGTCACATGATCGCGCGCCAAGATACAAAAATTTAGAGCTGCACGACCAACCACTTGTGGAGCCAACACGCACGACGTTTGTGTCATTTTCTGGTGCTGGCTTCACTACGGCGAGTACAAACTAAGCTTTAGGGGACAGTGTAGTCCTAGTCTGTGACGCTGATATTCATATATACATATACATATATACATA